GAATTCTTTTTATATTCCAGATATTAGCCCTCTGTCTGAGGAATAGCTGCCAAAATTTTTTTCTAATTCTGTAGGTTGTCTCTGCTCTGTTGGTTGTATTCCTTTGATGTGCAGAAACTTTTTAATTTGATATGATTTCATTTGTTGATTCTGTATGTTATTTCTTGTGCAATTGAGGTTCTATTCAGAAAGTCTATGCTTATGCCTATGGCTTCAATAGTTTTATCTATTTTATATTCCACTAGAATTTTTTTTTGGTACTGGGAACTGAACTATGGACCTTGCACTTGGGAGGCAGGCAGGGGAACCACTGAGCTAAATCCCCGGCCCCAGTAGATTGTTTTTATCTTAACATTTAGTTGTTTGATCCATTTAGATTAGTACATGGTGAGATACGAGAGTCTAGATTTGCTTTTCTGTATGTAGATAGAAAGTTTTTGCAGCACTACTTGTTAAAGAGGCTGTCTTTTCTCTAGCCATAAATGGCTTTTTATCAGATTGAGATAAGGTCCTTCTATACCTCTTTCCTTCAGGGTTTTTTTTTTTAAATCATGAACGTGTGTTGGATTTTGTCAAAGGCTTTTTCTCTGCATTTAATGAGATGAGCAATACATTTTTGTCCTTGCTTCTGTTTATATGATGTTTTTGGACCCATTGTCAAAGACAAGCTGAATGTGCCTGGGGTTGTTTTTGTATCCACTGTTCTGTCCCATTGATCTACATGTCTGTTTTTGTGCCAGGATCATGCTGTTTTTATTACTGTAGCTTTGTAATATTACTTAAAATCTGAAATTGTAATGCCTACTGCTTTGCTCTTATTACCCAGGGTTGCATTTGCTGTTATGGGTCTCTTCTGATTCCATATGAATTTTAGGATTATTTTCTTTAGTTCTATAAGGAATTCTGTTGGTATTTTGATTGAGATTGCGTTCAATCTGTATATTAGTTTTGGTAGTATGACTATTTTGACAATATTGGTTTTATCCATCCAAGCGTGGGGGATATCTTTCTATTTTCTAATATCCTCTTTGATCTTCTTTTTAAGGGTACTATAATTTTCACTGTAGAGATCTTTTACTTCCTGGTTCGGTTAATTTCTAAGTATTTAATTTTTCTTGATGCTATTGTATGGTATTGTTTTTCTAATTTCTTTCTTGGTGAGTTTCTTTATTGGTGTACAGGAATGCTGTCCAATTCTGTGTATTGATTTTTTTCTCCTGCCTCATTGCTGAATTTTGTTATTCTAGGAGTCCTTTTGGTGGAATTTCTTGAGTTTTCTATGTAGAGGATCATGCTTTCTGGAAAAAATGATAATTTGTCTTCTTTCTTTCCTATACAGATTTGTTTTATTTCTTTTTCTTTCCTGATTGCTCTGGCTGATAGTCCAAGTACTGTATTGAACAATGTGATAGTGGATGTCCTTATCTTGTTCTTGATTTTAGAGAGAAAGCTTTCACTTTTTCTTCATTTAGTATGACCTTGACAATAGGTTTGTCATAAATAGCTTTTTATCAGATTGAGATAAGGTCTTTGTGTACCTCTTTCCTTTAGGCTTTTTTTTTTTTAAATCATGAATGTGTGTTGGATTTTTTCAAAGGCCTTTTCTCTGCATCTATTGAGTTGATCATGTTATTTTTGTCCTTCTGTTCATGTGATGTGTTACATTTATTGATTTGCATATGTTGCACCATCCTTGCATCCCTGGGATGAAGCCTACTTTGTCATGATATATGATCTTTTTGATGATTTGTTGCATTCTGTTTGCCAGTGTCTTGTTGAGAATTTTTTCATCTGTGTTCATTAAAGAGATTGGCCTGTAGTTTTGGTTTTTGGAAGGATCTTTCTCTGGTTTTGGAATTAGGGTAATACTAGGTTACAGGAGTGACTTTGGGAATACTTCTTGTCTTTTAATTTCATTAAAGAGTTTAGGGAGTATTGGTGTTAGGTCCTCCCTGAAGGTTTTGTGGAATTCAGCAGTGAACCTTTCAGTTCATGAGCTTTTCTTGGGTGGTAGATTTTTTATTACTGCCTTAATTTAATTGCCAGCTTTTGGATATTTACCTACATATCTAGTGATTCTGTAACACAGAGAGGATCCTTGAAATTAAGAGTCTGAGCTTGTACAGGCATATCTGTCATACTCCTCAGCAGCAGAAGAATTACTCACTAAGCAAATCACCTTCACAGAGAAGTGGAAAAGTTTCTTTAGGTTATCATAGGATATAATTAAATATCTCCAGGGGAGGATAGGAGAGAGGGTCATTTCTCCAATGGTCTTTGGAGGCCTCTCTCCTTAGGAAGATACCGCTCTAGTTTCCAAGTTTTTCTGTTATACACATATCTTTGTACTTTTTGCTCAGAAGTCGATGACTGTGCAGGGACATGAGAAATCCAGAGAAAATTGTTTCTTAGTAGTAATTCTAAATTTCAGAAGCTACATCTATTCACATTTGAACTTAGATTTAGGGGTAAAATGTTTTCAGAATTTTATCCATTTCTCTTTCCAACTCTTGGCACTTTCTCTATGTTGGCTCATTGTCAAGTAGGTACTTAGGTTCTTTCAGTTTAGCAGCTTCAGCTGAAAAAGAACTTTCCTTCCTTATTAGTTCCTGTGAAAATGTTGGGGGTGCTGGATATGTAACTCAGTTGTAGAGCACTTGCTTAGCATGTGTGAAACCCTGGGCTTGATCTCCAATACAGAAATAAAAAGAAAAATATTGGACGACATTCAGACTTATCTATCTAATTTGGGTCATATACCCATTCCTGAACTGCTGCTCAGGGGAAGAAATATGTGGATTCTAAAATCCTATATGGTGTGCCTACTGCAGAAACTTTAGAGTGTAAATGATTAGTGCCACCCAAACCACACAGATTGATGACAAGAGAAGGGGTTCTAGCAAAAGAAAACTCTTTGTATTACTTACAAGATATCACCCTTATCAGAACTCAGCAAAGATTTCATACACAGCATTGAAAAATACATACACAGCATTAATTACTTCCTAGTAAACCTTAATCTTTCCCCACCAACTTCTCTAGTTACACAGGCTCCCATCCTGCTTTTCCTCATGTCAGGCCCCTTCCCATCTCCACAAAGTCTACCTCCTTGTTTACTATCATCTTTCTTTTATTTTGTTCTTTATTTATATTTTGGGTTTCTCATATAAGAAAAACCATTCAATATTTAACCTTCTATATCTTAGCATTATTGACTCAAGGTGCATCCATTACTACACATAACTCAAATTTATCCTTCTCTATGGCTGAGGAGTATTCCATTGTGTGTCTATACCACATTTTCTTTACCCATTCATCTGTTGATGGGCATAGGCTGCTTCTGTAATTTAGCTATTATGAATTGGGTTGCTATGAACATGGATATGCATGTATTACTGTACTATGATGTCTTTAACTCTTTTGGAAGGATTCTGTAGGTATAGATGGGTTAAATGGAATTTCTGTTTTTAGTTGGTGATGAATCTCCATACTGATTTCCATAGTGGTTGCATTAGTTTACATTCCCAACAACAGTGTAAGAGGATTCCTTTTCCTTCACAGCCTTGCCAGCATTTCTTGATTTTGATTTTTTGATGCTAGTCTTTCTTACTGGGGTAAAATGGGATCTCAGTGTTGTTTTGATTTGCATTGCATTAATGGCCAAAGATGCCGAGAATTTTTGGAAGGGTGTATTCTTGTCACTGGCTCCCCTCTTCTCTCTGTGCTTCCTGGTTTAAAAGCAGCTTTCCTCTCTTGCCCTTCCAACGTGCCCTGTCTGCTGTGAAGCTGAAGGCACTGGAAACTGTGAGCCACATGCACCTCTCCTCCTCTAAGTTGTTGGTATTGGGTATTGTGTCCCAGTGAAAGTGACTAATCTACTTGCTAAATCTAGGAGGAAATAAAAATGCTTGTTTGGAGGCAAGGAAGGAACCCTATGGAAATGGGCAAAACATTAGAAGAGTAGAAGACTGGTGTCAGCTATGACAGACACGCCGTGTTTGGTTAGTTTCCTGGTTAGAAGGAAAGGAGTGATCTTTCTGGTAACATTTATGCAATGTCTTGATTCATGTGAAAGTCAAAGAAGGAGGGCAAAAGGCAGGAAACAATAGAAAACAAAAAAGAATTTGGAAGAGGAGAGCTGATGATGAACTAGGAAGTCAGGATTAGATATAGGAGGGCACAAGGCAAAAGATGAGGAGCTAACAGGGTTGTAAATGACACAGTTGGCTTCTACCACTATGAATTCAACCAATCATGAATCAAAAATATTCTTTACAAATTGCATCTGTTCTGAACCAATCCTGCATGCATACTTAGGGGTGACTGTATGTTGACATTAGTGATAAAAAAGAGAGCCAGTAACCAAGAAATATCTTAGAAGATCTATACTTTCAAGGATTGAGGGGAGAACTGCCAATTCAAGGATCATATGTTGGCATAGTAAGACATGTGAAACAGAGGAAGTATGTGTTTTGCTGGGAAAATCTTTCTCAGACTTTCTTCAGTTTTTGGAAATATTTTTCCTTACATAATTACTTTTTTAGGATGTAACTTTTTTTTTTTGAGACAGGGTCTTGCTATGTAGCTCAGGCTGGCTGAATTCAATTATGTAGCCCAGCTGGTCTGGAACTCCTGGCGACTCTTCTGCCTCAGTCTCCTGAGTGCTGGGATTAGAGACATGTGCTACTGTGCCTGGCTATAACAGTATTTGAACAAATGTAGTCCCTTGTGGCTTTTGATGTGCTTTAAGCTTGAAGTTAGTTTTATTCTGTGAAAATGAAGAAAAACAAGAATTACCTCTTCAAAGTGGAGAATAGGAGGCAGAGAAAGTAAAATACATTACACATAGGGACTAGGGAAGAGGAGAGAGAGTAAGCAGTGGCTAGGCAGGTAAGTATAGAATTCTCATTTGTAGTTTGGTGAATCTGATAAATTGACACAGTTAATTTCCAGTAATAGTTTGCTATACTTCATGTGTACATTTTTTCCTTTTTCTTTAGGGAACAGTTCTGACTCCTTGAATTTCTTCTTGCAGCTCATACTTTTTGGCTAGACCTATGGTCATTCCTGTGAGACTTCACTGCACGTTTTCTCAAGTGTCTTCTTCATCCCTAATGTGTATATATCTCAACATGGACCTGCTACTTTAGCTAAGACACAGCCAGCAATGAATAGTAAGGTAGGATTACTTTACTGTTCTTGGTTAATTAAAGAATTCTTCTCTTTCTGAAACTATAACGGTTTTGATTTTGTAGGTTTTTTTTTTTCCCTTTGTTTTGTGTTTTGAGATAGGATTTTGCTATGTAGTCCAGGCTTTCCTGGAACTTGCTATTAGCCCATGCTGGCCTCAAACTCTAGCTGAGTGATGGCAAACCTTCAATTATAACAAACAGCTGGTGGGGGCACATGTGCCACAGGTTCACCATCGCTGCTCTAGATTCTCCTCCCATAGCCTCCTGAGTGCTGGGATTATAGGCCTGTGCCACTATACCTGGCTTGTAGTATTCTTTTTTTCTTTTTTGGTACCAGGGATTAAACTCAGGACCTTGCGCTTGGCAGGCAGGTGTGGTGCCCCTGAGCTACATCACCGGCCCTTTGTAGTATTCTTTATATGAGATTATTCTCCTACTTTGAAAGGCTACTTTCATATTATATTTGTGTTTATATTTTGCTTGTCCTTTATCTTAATGAATTTTATCTTATCTATGATATAATTATTATTTTTGTCAACTAATACTTAGGAAGAGCAGAATCCCAATCTATATTGTTTTCTCAACCTGAATGCCTACCAGTTCTAGATTTTCAACTGCCTGGCATGATTTGTTTTTTTTTTTTCTGGAACACTATACTTCCTTCTGTTTTCTGTATTACAGAAAAGACTCTGAGGTCATGTGATATTAAACCAATGTTTAATTAAAAGTCATATAAAGTTCAATTTCAGGGTAAAAGTATTTTTTAAAACATTAATTTTATTGGTACATTTTAGGTATACATAATGATAGTATTCATCATAGGGAATCTGTACCTATACATGATATGTCTTGATTCTTCTTTTTTCCCCAATCCTCTCCCTTCCCTTCATCCCCTCTTCCCCTTATTTAAAAAGCTTTGTTTCTATTTTTTTCTTCTATTCTCCTTTTTTTCTTTTCCCTTTCTTCCTTTCCCCCTCCCTCCTCCCTTGTTCCCCTTCCCATTTGAACATTTTCTTCTTATTTCACAATATCTAGTATACATTTTGGTTCTTAGTTATACTTTGTTTCTCATACCAGAGAAATAATGTGATATTTAAACGTGTGTCTGATTTATTTCACATAAGAGTATGGTCTCAAGGTGTATCCATGTACCTAGAATATCGCGTTTATTCTTTTTCATGGCAGAGTAGTACTCCATTGAATAAAAAAGTATTAACTGTTACATGTTACGGACCTGTCAGATGCTTTATTTCCAATGGTAATGTTATTTCTCACATTATAATTAAATTTCTTTTGCTAACATAACCAATCCATATATCAGTATACAGAGTTGCTCAAAAGGCAAAATCATGAAGTCTTGAGTATATTTTTTTTTTTTCACACACAAAGAATCCCAAAGTGTCATGAATTCTGACTCAGAAGAAATATACCTAAAATTCATTCATCTTCCTCTTGTTGCTTGCATCCTGCTTCAGCTCCAAAAAGGCAGCTTTCACTTTTGCTCCAGCTAGTCCTTTCCTCACAGTGCATCTAAAGTATTATTTAGAATAAAGCACGAAGCTTATTTTGCCAAACTTTTCAAAGCTTTATATGACTTATAGTTAATTATGAATTTAATTTCATATCATGTCAGAGTCTTTCTGGAAGTGACAGTAATTGGTCTGGGCTTTTACACTGAGTGTGGCGCTTCCTCTCCCTTTTTCTCTTTAAAAAAGAGAAAATTCTTTTAGTCAGTCTGAAATCTTCCCAGACTGTTACTCAAAGTTCTGAGAGGTAGTTTTATTAGTATTTTATCCTGGAAGTTTTCCAGCATACTGTCATTAAATGTATTATATATATATATATATATATATTTTGTATAGGGGATCGAACTCAGGTCCTTGGCACTTGCGCAGCAGCCGGCGAAACAACTGAGCTAAATCCCCAGCCCAGTATTATATTATATTTGAAAGTGTCTAGCCTGTCTAAACTCCTAGGAGGTTCACTTGTTATCTTTTTAGTTTTGTGGCTTTGTCCTAGGATATTGTCCTCTTCCTCTCTTATAGCTGGAAATTTAGAGAGGCTGTGTGGCCGTCCCAAGATCACACAGCTGATTTTCATGATTTTGCAGATGAGGGCTGCTGTTATTCCTCATGCTTTAGGCTGCTGGCCTCCCTGTGTGCTTTCTATCTTCCTACCCCTTCAACCTTTCACTCTGAGGTATTCAGAATTACAGAAAAAGTGAAGATAGAGGACAGTGAAGACCCACATTGCCTTTCAAATTTATGTATATATATTTAAAACCATTGAAATTATATTAAAGACATCATGATAATTTAAAAATTTTAGCGTGTATATCATTGAGAATATGGATAGTTTTCTGCATAATCATAATACTGATATCATAGGTAAGAAAATTTAATACTAATTTAAAACATGTTTGTTTTAGACCATTTGTGCTGCTGTAGCAAAATACCTCAGCCTGGATATTTATAAAAGACAGAAGTTCCTTGCAGTTTTGGGAAATCCTATATCAAGGTGCTGGCAGGTTTGGTATCCGTGAAGCTTGTTCCTCACAGAGGGTGCTGTCTGGGTGACCTCACATGGTAGAGTGGGTAGGAGTGGAGAGGCTCTTGTCTGAAGCCTCTCTTTGTCTGTTTGTACGAGAGTGTAATCCCATCCATGAATTGAAGGCTCTGTGGCCTACTCATCCCCAAGGGCCACACCTCTTAGCACACTGGTTGAGGATAAATTTTACCGTATGAATTTGGGTTAGACTGATGCATTTAAACCATGGCAATGCTAAATGTAAAGGTCTGCATTACCCACTAACCAGTCTGATTACTTAAATACTTTTTTCTAAGATAATATAACAGGAAATATCAAAATGACAGTTTCTTCAACTTTAATCAATAATTTTGCTGTGTATGGTATATGTTAAAACATTCAATACACAACATTACAATCTGGACAGTAGTATCTAGTCTCTTTCTGAATTCTTTTTACATTATTGTCTTTCTTTGAACAACACATTTTACACTGTTGTGTTGGCCTTTCCTTTTTTCTATAGGTGGTATAATTTCAATAAAATGTCTGCCCACTAAATGCAATGGTGAGGGTGTTGATGATGGACATCCTGGCTGGCATCTCACTATCCCATATATTTCAATTATTTGGTTTATTAGGCCTAATCTAAATTGTAAATGGCTTTTTGAACTCCCTTGTTTTGAATAAATATCAAACAAGGTCCATATTTTTTGTTCCAGAAGGTGCATAAATATTTTATACTAATAATTTTTTTCCTTGCTGTTTGGTTACAGAATAGCTTCTTAGATGCTGGTCAACTCTGTCAACACCATCCATAGAATTATTATAATCATTGATCACTATTGGAATTTTTTTAGTTTCATTTCTTTCAAGTTCTATCATTTCTGTATTATGAATAGTTGACAATAAGGAAACTTTTTTGTCTTTCCATTTTATAACAGACTTTCCCTCTCTGATATGCAAACATTTCTCCCTTTTTCAGTTTTTCTTTTGCAGATCTTTTGGCACTTCCTTCCTATTCAGTCTCAGTGTTTCAAACATGTCCATTTTGTATTGTAAAAGAATATCACTGAGTTCTGGAGAAATATAAAAATTATATGTGATACACTTATATGAGTTTTTATAGATTGTAGCACAAAATTATAGGTTATTTTTCACAAATAAACAAGAATTAGTGAAAGAAAATAACTAGAACTTATTATTAGATTTCACTAGAAACAAACATTATAGGCAAATACAACATTCTAAATAAAAAAGTATGCAAAAAATAGTCAGTAAAGAACAAATAAACAGATGTACAAGGGTATCTTGTGCAAACAAGAAGTGACTGGTTGAAATGACACCAGCCTGAGCAATGCTCAGGACAATTAGTACATGAACAAGTGCACTGCCCAAGTGACGGTCAGGTAAATTGTTAAGTGGTTAAGATCTCTCCAGTTGTCCCTAAATTTTTTAAAGCTTTTTTTTTTAAATACAAGATTCAGTCAGGTTTCATGCGTTGTCTTTGGTTCTTAGGTTTTTTTGTTTTGTTTTGTGTTTTTGAGACAGGGTCTTGCCATGTAATTCAGACTGGTTTTCAACTCACTATGTAGCCCATGCCGGTCTTGAACTCATGGTGATCTGCCTGTCTCACCTTCCCCAGTGCTGGCATTACAGGTGTGGACTATTAGGCCCACCAGGCCTGGCAGTTCTTAGGCTTTTTTATTCTCTTCTGTTCTCAAATAGTTCTCTGCTTTTTTCTGTTTGTTTTTCGGTTGCTCATGATCTGTATTTTCTTTTAAGAGAATCGAATTTGTGTATACTTACGTCTCATTTTGGAATTGCCTTGGATTGTAGAACATTATTCATCCAAAACTTTTTTGCAATTTGCTTTTTCTTTCAAGTTCTCTGAGGTTGCTAGAGATAAAATTGTCATTTCCATTTTTTTTTTGGAACTATCATTCCAACTTTAAATATACGTTAGCTGAGTTTGTTTTTTCATTTGGTTACATTAAGTTAAAGATAAGAACATTGGAAGATTTATGTTATATTTCATTCACTGGCACTAATCAGCATTGAAATTCAAATAGAAAGAGAGGTCTGCAGTAGTTCTGCCTTCATTGTCCATCTCCACATTTTATCAAGTCGGTTATATCTAGGAATGTGTATCTAGTCACTGTGAATATTACAAAGCAGCAATCTAAGGCTTTATTTTTGAAAAATGCACAATTTTAAGTGAGAAATACATTAAAATGTAAATAATGTGTAAGAAAGTTAATTGATACAACCAGAGCTTGCCACGATGGACCAGATTTAGGTACTGTCAGTCTCTGATACTTGTGTTGGCTGTCATTCTGTGAGTATTCTCTTTCTTCCTTATTTACTTTTTTTTGGTACTGGGGATCAACTCAGGACCTTGCACTTGTGACGCAGGCAGTGGAACCACTGAGCTAAATCCCTGGCCTCTTCTTCCTTATTTACT